AACTAAGGACGGCTTGTCGATATGGGTTGTGGGCTGGACAGGCATCATGGCAGCTGAACGAGACATATCATGTCAACGACACTGAGGTTGTCAATATGTAGTCGGCAGTCCTGTAACAGCAGTTGCAAAGTTGGGCTACAGAACCTGGTTGTAGCATCGCAAAGGTTAAGCTGAACAAACTTTAAAATCAGGCAGGCTATTGAACAACTATCAGTATTGCTTGGGCTTTGGGGATGTAGAGTTTGGGGTTTCGGATCTGGGGTATTGCTTGCGGTGTTTGGAGCGTGGGGCAGGGTTTAATGAGTAACAGTTAAGTACATCAGCTCACGTCCGATTTGTCTAAAGCATAGCACCGACAGCCGGCTCGCCTGTGCGATCGGACTCTCTTCGCCTGACCGAACACGAACACGCGCAAACAGCCGATAGCACAAAAGAGGCCAGAGGTCGGAAGGCTTGTGGGGAACTAATCCTTCTGCATTTTCAAGGGCCCTGTAGTAGGAAGTCTGATAGTTTTAGAACTATGATTCTAGAACAAACGGCTTGATAAACACCCCTAGTTGGGGTTGAGGGCTGCCCCGAACCGACCGCCACCGGACCTGGCCGAGGAAGGCCGGAGGTACTAAGAGATGCTGCTGGGGGTGCTAGAATGTTCAACAGTGTAGGAATTTCTCAGGAGGATTTTAAGGGCCTTTGTAACCACCATTGGGCTTGGGGTAGATGATTCATTCTATACCATATAATCTTACTGCTTGTATTTTGGGGGACTGTGGGGGGACCCAAAAGGATACTGTTACCCGAAACCTCAAGCTCTGCCCAAAATGGAAGCCCACGGAGGTGACGGCGAGATGGGTAGCGATGAAATCGTCGCAGCGCTGAAGAAGCGGAGGTCGGCGGAAGTACGGCTCCTTTGCTTGGAGCCAGCCGATTCAGGTTTGGAGTTTATAGGAGTTTCGGCTTTATGGGTATTTTGGGGTTTGTAGGGTTCTAGGGTTTGCAAGGTTTTAAGGTTTGCGGCTTATGCGGCGTAGGATCCACCTAGGATCCAGGGGTTCGATGCCTAGGGCCCCGGGGTCAGGGTTCATTCATAGCCAAAGCAACCTATTTCGGCTGTGAGGTTCGCGTTTAACCCAAACAGCCATCCTAAACACCCACCATGGACCGGGCTCCAAAACGGACACCTGGGGCCCTCCGGGTCTTTGGGGGTGCAGGATCCCCACCAGGTTCCATGCTTGAGAGGAGTGCGTGCCGATGAAGGTGTTGGGATTCCATCTCACTATCTTGAGTAGGGACGCCAAGCAAGACAAAGGCGAGTCAACTCTTGAGCAACAACCTCGCACCATGCCGGACAACGCACCCAAGAAAGGCTGAGCCAAAGACCTCAACAACCCGAGGTACACAAGATACACGTGGCTGGGCACTGACTTTGCGGCTATTCTTTCTCAAGGGCCCCACTGGTTGCGGGTGTTGCATGGTTTTGTACTACATACGAGTGTTTGTTAACGCGTCGTGTTCGGATTCGGGTAACACTGTTTCAATTCCTTCATCGGGCGCTCAAGACTCAATGCAGGCCGGGCCTCAGAAGGCTCATTGCATTCAGCCTTCCTTATGTGGGAGAGCCGTAAACTGGAGTAGGTCACGTTGACTTTTCAAACCTTATAAACTCTGAAACCTAAGGTTCTTGTCCGAGTGTGAGCATCGGTTTTCCCGAAAAGCCTACACTAGGGCCTACACCCTACAACCAAAACCCCGTACTGTAGACCAGAAACTCCCAAACCCCCTCAAAGCTCTAAATACTAAAAGAGCCCGAACGCGTAAACCTTTCAACTTTTCCTACCTGAATTGAGCCCGTGGCCTGGTCGTGTCGGGAGCCCATTTCGTCTCCAGCAGTCTGGCATCATATCCATAAGAGCCTGACTGCCCTACGAGCACCAATGCATCCCAATGCTCATCCATACTCTAACAGGTTTAGGGCTCCATGTTCTGGGGAGTTGAGTGCGTGATGGGACTTCAAGATATATACAGGGTGAGAAGTGGGGCGCTCTTCCAAGTATGCCCGCAACTCTATGAACTCTAAGCAACTGGCGAAAGGCCCTCGGGCAAAAAAGCAACTACTATGAATCCTTATCCCCTTAACCGTGGCTGATATCCTTTCCGATGTCCTTTAGCCCCGAGTTTCCTGCTGCATGTATAACGGCGCTTACATACATGTGTATATATATATAGATACATATACATATACATATACATATACATATACATATACATATACATATACATATACATTATACATTATACATATACATATACATATACATATACATATACATATACATACACATACACATATACATATACATATACATACACATACACATACACATACACATAGACATATACATATACANNATACATTATACATTATACATATACATATACATATACATATACATATACATATACATACACATACACATATACATATACATATACATACACATACACATACACATACACATAGACATATACATATACATATGCATATACATACACATACACACACACATACATACATACATACATACATACATACATACACATATACACACACACACATATATAGATATATATATGTGTGTGTGTGTGTGCATATGCATGTATATTTATGCATGTATATGAACACACGCACATGTATTTCTGTCTCTCTGTATATGCATGTGTTTGTGTTTGCAATGGTCGGAATTGCTGTAGTTGTTTAACCGTAGTGCACGCAGTGTCTGCTCTTGCTGTAGTTATTCGCGCAGTTCTATGGCTTTAGTTTAGCTACTGTAAAGACGGAAGGGGACATGCATACAATCAGCGAATTGCAAGCCCTATTTAGGATGGTGATGTTGTTGCCGACGACGATGACGACAATGATTGTGGTCATGCTGTGATGCTGGGGACGATAGTCACCACGAGCTAGTTTGTAATTGCAGGCCGCAAGCCTTCCTTATTCGTCGTTGCGCTTCTCACTCCGTGCTTGGCTGGCTCAGGATCGCCCCACCCCCGCCAGACCCTCTCTACAACTACATGGTTGGCCATGCCAGCAACCTGGCGTCCATGAGACTCCAAGACAGGATTTGGCACACCCTCGTAAGGCGAGCCGCATCAGTGCTCAGCTGTTTGTTACTTCATTCTGGACGGGGCATGGTTGAGGAAAATGCTTCGCAATGCTAGAAGACATAGTATCGTGACAAGCTTCAAATGTTTAGCTGGGTTTCTCCACAGACAGTGGTGTAAACAAAAAAGCTCAACATCGTTGTGGCGCCGGTTTGCGTCGGATGGGGGGGGGGGCCCTCTACTGCCATGAAGGTCTGCCGCAGAATATTGTGAAAGACGTTGACCATCCTTACACTGTAAGGGTCAGCCCTCGTAGTCGTTTGGAATCTCCATGTTAGGTACGTACTGCTACGGCAGGAGGTGGCTTGAGCGATTCTGCACGAAGTCACGAGGCTTTCTAAAAGCCCTTCATGGGCTTTGGTTCGTCTTACTTGAGAACCCCCCAGCCAGCTCCAACATCTCACACACCTGGCAGTCTACATGAAGGGCGTACACGTTTGAGCATAGATGTGCCCTAACTACCAGGATTGCTTCTTGACGCAATCATGTAATGCATTACGGCAGTCTCCTGACAAGGAGCCCCCCGGACTCGCACTAAACAATCGTTATCCACCATTGTGCATAGCCTCATCTAGACAGCCCACATCTGCCTGAGGCTACGACTTGATCTACCGTGACCCGCGCCTTTGGCAGTGGGTGTTGTCCCACCAGAAACCCTCTGCCAAAGATGCATGGGGCTTGTGAGACTTGGGCCAGCGACTCCGAGTCAAAAACGAGTCTCTAAGCCAAGCATGATGCTTCTGCCATTTGTAGCTCGAAGTATGCTCATCACTATCACCGTCACCACATCATCCGCACCACTAGAACCACACGTCCAAGCATCAGTACCAAGCATCAGTACCAATTCCAAGACCACCCTCACGGCGAGCCACCATCACCTTCATACATCGCTGTCGGCATTTCATTGCCAACATCATGGTGAATAGCGGCAGTGTGACTGGCAGCATTCAGAACCAAAAGAGGTACACTTCATGCAGTCGAGCATCCATGAAATGTTCTTGCACACTCCAACCCTCGAGCCTCAAAACCCATTCTTTCTTCCGGAAAGGCTATGCTCCCGTCGCTTGGCAGGACCCCGGCTGCCTCGAGGCTTTGCTCCAGAAAGGGCTTGCGCCGGGAGCCCAGGGTTTGTCGAGGAGCCGAGGCCGTGTCTTCAAAATGATGGCAGCAGTGCGGCTGTGCATATGCTAAGCTGGTCAAGTGGTAGCAGAGCAGCAGAGTCACCACCATCTTCAGCATGGTCATCTCCTCGGTCATCATGCAAGTGAAGACGGTCTGGGTAGAGGTATAGTTGTCGCAACTATGCCGGTTCTTGACTTGAGCTAGTAGCACAAGACCCGCTCGCTGTAAAACAGCTCATCTTCAAAGAATTAGTGTACGAAGAATCGACTCTCTCGACGGCTCCGAGCATAAGGCTTTTTCAATTGGCCTCGAAGAGGCGAACCCGTAGACGCATCATGGACGCGCAAGACGTGATTGAAATGGTGGAGCTGGACGACTTCACCATCGCAGAAGTGAAGACGGGCTGGAAGATTATGGATCACAAGGGGGCTTATCTGGATTTCTTTGAGAGTTTGAAGGTCGCAGCTCCCTTGTCAGGGCCGATGCTGAAGCGAGCTCACGCCGCCTGGGAAGCCTTCGGGAAGCTCATCACTGGGCTTGATGATGTGCAGCAGCTCCGAGCCGGTATGGAGTTCTGTGCTCTCCGGCACATGGGCGTGGCCTTGCAGCAATCGGATGTCGACAGTTTCAAGACCGTGCTCCTTGAATTGTGTGGCAGCAAGCTCGGAGCCCTCCTCACCCCAGAGTTTCAGTTCGGCGTTACGATGCTGGTGGATGCAATGGGCAGGACTATGCTGCGCACCCGCACGAAATTCGAGACAAGGCTGCGCATCCTCCGCACAAGTTGGACAGCCCTTGAGCAGTCGGGGGGGGAGAAGCTGGACATCGACTCACCAGTATCGCCTCGGACTCACGATGGGAAGGTCGAACCAGAGATCAACAGCGAGCCTGCGTCACCCAGTGAGAAGAGCACTGGCACTGGCGAGCACAAAGGGAGGAAAAGCTTGAAGAGTGTAGGTTCCGTTCATGTGCCGCGCTCATTCCATGACATGGTTCTCTTCAATGCTTCCGTAATGAACATGAGCGAAAATGTGTGGTTCGAGGAAATGCTCCAGTCGCTACGAGCATTGGTGCCTAACTGTGGGAACATCTCCAGGTTGCAGGAAGAATGTGACTTGCTCTGCTTGGCACTGGTGCATTACGACGAGGTTAACCTCAACACGTTCAAGCAAGTCATGTTTGCTTCGCTTCGATCGTTGTTACCTTCGCAGTGGAACACGGAGCATGAGAACGCTTGGTCCTGGTTCTGGGATGGAGTAGAGCAAAGACTAACAACTGGCATGCCATTAACAGCCGTGTACATGAACCATTTGCAGTCTTTCTTACGCATGGATGAGGCTGCCTGCTTTGCTTTCAAGATGGAGGTATTCGAAACTTTCTTCGCGACCTGCGAGCAGTCCCAGGAATTCTTGAAGGCATCTAATGCCAAGCTTCAGTTCATCGCAGGCAGGATCTTGGACATCATGACAGACATGTTCCGGACACCGCAGTTGGCTGTGAAAGATATCTCAGCTCTTGGCTTGCTCCATGCTGGCTACGGCGTCAGGGAAGAACTTATTTCACCGTTCGTTACTTCATTCATGTCGGCAGTCAAGAATGTCTGCCCTGAGGACAGCTGGCTGAGAGGCATCCAGTGGACCTTCGAACTCGTGAGCCGCACGCTCGCTCGGACGCTGGCCGAGGGCTCCACTGCGGTCATGCGCGCCATCACAAAGAACTCAGCCCGGCAACTTGAAAAAGCTGTGTCCTCGGCACCCAGAGGTCAGCGAGAACAGATGCTCCTTCGAGTACAAGTGGGCACAGAGTCCATCTCACCCCTTCTCTGGGCCATCCAGAGCGGCGCGCTGCGCTCTGCGGAAGCCATCCTCATGGATCTGCTGAGCATTCGAGCAGACCGAGCTCGCTACTACTACGGTATGGAGGGCCTTTGGGACCGGCACCCGGACATTGTGCCGCTGCTGTGCAAACAAGCTCCCTCATTGATGGGGCACTTGCTCGACGGCCTAATGTGGAGGTCCAAGCAGATCAAGGGAGGGATGCGCAGGGTGAATTATTACATCAGCCGTATTTTGGTGAATGAAGAGGGAGAGCTTGCGCCATCCATGCCTCAGCTGGTAAAGCACGGAGATCCAAACCTGCTTTGCCACCCCTGCACACGCTTTGTTTTCGATCTTCTTTGGGCGAGAATGTGCTGTCTTGCTTTCATGGTTACCAAACTCTGGTTTGTGCTCACGCTCTTGGACTTCATTGTGGGCTTGCAATATGGCATCCTCATGTTTGATTCAGCTGGACCTGGCAGATGGGCACTGATCAGTTGTCGCTTGTTCATGTACATCTTCAGCTTGGGCCACCTGTTCGTAAAACATACCTCGCTATTTGCACGTGCATACAATCAGGGACGGACGGTGCGTTGTTGTCGATGCCTTCGGCTGCCTGCTTATCTCCTCGCTTCCAGACAGGAATTTGTGGAGTTTGTCTTGGCAGTCTTCCTGTTTTGCATGCTGACTATGGAGCCCTTCTTGCATTGCTTGAACGTTGATGACCGATTCGTCACCAACTGCTGTGAGCATGGTGAGTTCTACTGCACCTTGTCCGACAACTACGATCGCATCTCCACGATTCCCATGCTCCTGTACTTCATCTTAGCATCGGACCTAGTCTACCTCAGCATCCATCTCTCCAGCTTCGTCGTCATTTGCACGAGCCTCTGGTGGGAGTTTGTGCTCTACTTGGGGGCTTTGGTCTTCATGGCCACAGCTTTCGCGAGTGCCATCGCCTGTCTCCCACAGACAGGGGCAGATGCTAGCATTCAGCTACGTGATTTCTACAACTGGCCATCTGCCTTTCAGTCGCTCATGTCCATGTCCTTGAACATGTACAGTGGGAACAACTTCGAGGAGATCCACACAGCAACGGAGGTGCCCCTTAAGTTCTGGATCATTGCATTCGGAGCATGTTGGCAGATTTTCCTGGCGAACCTGATGATTGCACACTTTTGTGAATCGTACCGTGGTATCTTCCAGGATGCCATGGGCCACGCATGGCTGACACGAGGCACCGTCATCTTGGAGACAGCCATGCCATTGATTTCTGCCAAGAAATGGAAGGACTTCATGCTGTCTCTAAGGCTCGAGGAGCCATGCGAATTGGACGAAGGGGATGTTGGACCATGTGGCGGGTTGGCCACCGTGGAAGGGCCCTTCGAGCATTTGAAAAGTCCCTCCGTGGAGCTGGACAGGGTCCAACGCTTTGGTGGCCTGGCCTCCGTCGACCTCCCGTGGCCTGAGGACAAGGCCGACAAGGATGACGCCAGCGACATGGTTTACAAGATAACGAACGCAAGATTCGACGAGCAGGACCGCATGTTGAAGGAGATTTGCATCAAGCTGGGCATCCGAGCCTCAGGCACTGGGACTGGATCGTCCGCAGGATCAATGATGGGCCATTCTCAGCTTTCAGACAGACCTAAGGCAAAGCTTGCGGTGGTTGAGGGGCCTGGTTCCTCCATTCCCGACGAATCGATCCCCGAGGACAATAGCGATGTCGCCGCCACGGAGGTGATGGAGGATCCGAGCCGCCACAACAGCGTGACAAGCCCTCGGCACTTTGGTAGCCTTGGCAGCCTTCCCTAGGCTTTCCTAAAGATGTGATCGATTGACAGTCATACAGTGACGCATCAAAACTATCCAAATGCCCTGCCGAAGTCGTACACTCAGCTGTGGCGGAGTGGAGAAGACAATGACAAGCCAGTCGATCCAGCCCACCAGAGACATGTATCAAGTGGGTCTTTTGTAAGCACATCAGCATGATCCAGAATTCTCTCTGTACGTTTCTGTTAAAATTCGCGCGCTGCATGGAGCTTGATGCATCAAGGCAACTGCAAGTTGCGGTGCTCAGTCGTTCGCAGACGTGCTCGTTGCTGTTTCAAGACTTAACTTTACCCAAGTCCCAGGGTCAGGAGTGCACCGGTGGCGAGGTTTGGTGGTGAGGGCGCAGAAAGCTGCAATCCTGCCGCTGAGCATGTTGTGCTGCTGTTTTCAACAGTGCATGCAGGGCTACATGCGCTCTACATGACAGAGAGTTAATGTCGTATTTAAACTATCGGGCAGACACATCCCTAAGAACCTTCTGCAGGGCTGCAGGCCCGACCTTGCCCGAGAAAGCAGCTCGCTACAATAAGCCAGGGGTGGACGAGTCCAGATCATAGCAAAAGCAACTGTATGGAAGCCAGAAGCCATGTCATTGTAGTAATGAAATTTGTCATCAAGCATCAGGACTCCCTGCACGAATTCCTCGCCGCTTCTTTTCAATGGCACTACGTAATTGAGTGACCAGCCGAAGGATCTTGTCGTTTCACCTGCAAGCAGCTGCCTCCCAAGTGTTCGCAACATGTTCGCGCATGAGAAAGTTTACTCCATGTATATATATATATACATATGTATATGTATGGGACGGGGTGCCTGTCGGCACCTTCGGCTCTTGCTGCAAACCGGTAGGCCAGCAGGTAGGCGCTGAAGCCAGCGAAGCTGACGCGCTCGGCTTCAGGTACAGAGTCTGGGTGTCGCAGTAGCACCGTTTGTCTCCAAGAGATCCTCCGGAGCGCGTGACCCAGGAAAGCCCAGCTGCCACGAGGCGCGATGTCGAGTATTTTGAAAGCTCTTGTGGCAATTGCACGACCCCGTCGCCTATGTTCGTCGTGGCCGTGTCGCATGGGAAAGAGATCACAAGGAAAAGTTGCCTTTGCAGATTGTCATCCAGTGAAGCCTGTCACATTGCTCGCTTTCACCTGGTCTGGTAGGTGAGGTCTTCGGTCCTAGAGTCCTAGAGCCCCTGCTTGATTAGACAAAGCAGCTGTGCAATACGAGAATGCCAGCATGCTCTCCTGCCTTCTTGGTCCACGCTTCATGAGAGATCAGTGGCACAAGCACAAAACCTAGATGTTGTTGTTTTTGTGATTGTTCTTCGTCCTGCGCACAGTTTTGTGGGAAGCTGTTTCACAAATCTGGCTGTTCCCAGACCTGTTGCGGTTCTTACATTCTCACATGGAGAGCCAGGTGAAAACAGCAACACATCAAGTAGGATTGCCGCCAGCAGAACCCAATCAAAGCCCATCGATGGTAGCTTATTGCACCTCCTGAACCCTCCAGCACTACCCTAGGACCCGAAACCCCTACCCGGAACGCATCTAGAACACAAAACCCTCCATCAGTCTTGTCGGTCCCCAGGTTGCTGGAGCTCGGAAGGCCATCTGAGGCTGAGGGCATTTTGCAGGAGCCCTGAAAGGCTCATACGGTTCAAGATTTATATAGGTTTTAGGGCCACCAGGCTTCTTCTTGATTGTAGGGGTGTCTGCCCTGGCAGTCTGAAAGTCTCGTCTCAAGAAAGGGTCGAGAGCTTAGGCTTTGTTTATGGCCTGGGTTCAGGGTTACTGCAGGGTGCGGGGGGAGGGAGGGTCATCTGGGGCAGGACAGCGAGAATGTGAGCTCGCAGTCTTCGCCGAAGCAGATGTACAGGTCTAGGTGAAGCGAGAGTGTCTTCACAACTCCGGGTCCAGTTCCGTCTGGATTGGGCTCCGTGGTGTCTCTGCTCCGAGCGTGTATCCTACCGAATGACGCTTTTAAGCGACCCCTTCTGCAGATCTTCAAGATCCCTCACTGCAGCATCACGACTCTAGTTTTCCTTTGTTGCGATGCTTTGCTATTGATCATTTGCCGACTTGTCGAGTGTGTAAACCAATTGTGCACGACTATGCATGGAAGTTCGTGCCCCCTCCCCCAACCAGACCCCAATGTAGAAAGCAACTGATCAGAAGCCAAGGGTGGTCAACCTTGCTTACAGGAAAGAGACCTGAATGGATGTTGGTAGGATTTGTCTGCGTTCTGAGCTCGACTCACCGATCATCTTGTATCCTGTGCTTGAGTTTAGCAGCCTGTTTCGAGTTCGTGCCTGTTTTAAGCTAGCCGGATAGGGTAAACATATAAGTTACGTGACCGTGTCGTCAAGCACTCACGAGGCCAGATCCCGATTCAATATGCCCGTGCAGCTTCCTCCCCCCCCACCCATGTAAACCCGGGCTAAGGATTTAAGGCTTAATCATAGATTGCAACGGTTCCTCAAGGACTTGCTTCTTACATCCAAAACCCTGCGCGCGACCTGAGCCCTGCATGTTGTTGCCAGGAGGGACTTCACGCCGAAGGAAGTGCGGTGCTGGCACGATCCGCGCCAGAGTGTCAGGAGGTCCGGCTATTCCGCACTTCTCATCCCCTCCAGAATAGCCTTATAACATGGGGGTAGGGTAACCCCCTTATGAAACGGTTTCTTTATCAGAAAGAGGGAGGCCACCCCCCCCCCCCCATTTTATAAGGATTCCGCGGTTGGGCAGAGGTTACCCCCCCCATTTTATAAACGGATGGTTCTGGTTATTTGCAGGAGCTATCCTGTCCGTAGATGACACAGCTGCCCCTATGCATTCAAATAGTTTTCGCAAAGCGAGATTAAAGTCTAGAAAAGTGAATATGATGCACTTCTTGCGAGATTACAGTCGATTTAGTGCAAGCGAAACGAGAGTGTTCATGGTGCCCTGATAGGAGACTGCCCTCAGACATAAGCCGATACCAGCAAGGTTCTGCCCCAGCTTTTCAGAACCTTTGTGCTCTTGAACCCTGGAATGTCAGCAGCACCGCTGTTTATATGTGACAGACTTCACGTAGGTGCCGGCCAGCTAGCTTTCTGCGCCAGGTATTGGAGCAACTTGAGTCTTTCTTGGACGACGAGGACTTGCTGCAGCAGGCAATTAGTCTTAGTGCACTTTGGTGAAGTGATTTGGCATTTCCCCTGCAATTGCCCGACCTAGCCCAAGATGACGTAGCTGGTTTGGTTTGCCTGTCATTCTTCCTGCTAGTATTCATGCTTCAGCAGTACATGTTGTTAAATGGCCTGCCACGATCCAAGTGCTGGAGCAAACAGAAACCCACACTTTCTGAGCAGGCCAGTTCCTGCATGGTCTTACAGTTGCTGTTGCTCGTTACTGAATGTCTGAGAGTGACTTGCAAGCGACTTAGACACCTCGTGAGTTTCCTGTTTGGTGCAGAATGTGCACGGCAGTACCCGTTTATGCTTGCTTTGAGTGTCGCCGTTCCTGTTTGCTGCTTTGCAAGTTGGCCAGAAATTGCCTTGAAAGATCATCGGGACTTGCAACAAGCGACAAAAGTGATGCAACTTCGCGCCGCCAGAGGCCCACACCTCTGAGGAAATCTTTCATGCTTTGTGAAACGTGCACGCTTGGCTGTCCAGATTTGCATTTCGGTTGCTTGAGATGAGCTTTCTGAATGCCAATGCTCTGGAACGAACGTCTGGCCCGACACCAAAGTTGCGTCAAGGCACGCACAGGGATTGTTTCACACCACCCTAGAATCCCTAGAAATTTCAAGGACTGTTCAGTTGAAGCTTCAACTTCCAGATCGTTTTCGTTGCCAGCAGTGCAGAAGTGTCGCAGGCATGTGGGTCCTAAAATCTTGTATGCTTTAGGCCTTATGACCTTAAATCAGAAGAACAAACCCTAAAACCCTGAAGCCTTCATCCCTTATTGCACACTTATTCCGACTCTAGACTGTATAAATCCAAATGAGTATGAACTGCCGTGAACCTGTTTTGTTCCTCGCTTGCAGGTGCAAAAGCTTCGCGAGAGCGGCAATGAGCATGTCCGACAAGGTGGGGGTGACTGGCCGGTGATGGGAGTTTTTCTTACGGGGGTCGTGTTGCAGGATGTAGGGGATTTGTTTGTCGCTTAGTGTATCCAAACCAGACTTTGCGTAGGATAAGGCCGACGGCTGTTTCCTTCAATCGCAACGCACCCCGGACTTACAAAAGGTCTAAAGTTTGCACCTTGCTTGTGACAACCTGCGCATGTTGACCTTGTCGGTAAAAAGCATCAAATATCTGGCATGAAACGGCAGCAAGGAAGACTGCTGTTTGGCAGTCGGGCATCAAAGTAGCTGAAGTCAATTTCCGTGTGTTTGCGGGTTCATGGTATATGGGTTAGAGTTCATGTTTCATTTGCTGCTGTCGCAGTTTTGCCAATGGCAAGCCTTGGCACGATCAACCGTCTGGAAGATGGCATTCCTTGAGTTCTCAGTGCCGTCCGCTGAAATGCATGCGACAGCATGAAAACAGATCCAGCTACATTTGGAGGTCCAACGTGTCGGTACCTGTGGGTATGTGCGCATGCTTGTTCTTGGCGTTTTTGACACGATGTACAGATGCAGCGAAGTTAACACTATATCCCTATTCTGTAATGCCTCACTACACAAACGTTGATCACTGGCATGAACAACCCGAAGCAGCTTGGATGTCGGTCTTTGTCCAATCAGTTGTGGTGCATTGCAGCCTGGTTTCTTACACAACCTCTCGCATCCGGTTTTCGGTTGCGCAAGTGAGCAAAAAAATCTGTATCTTGCCGATGGTGGTGCTGCGATGCTCGGCTTTTGGAGCATTTCATATTTCATACACCCAACACTGCGCATATCCGCGTGTCTGTAAGTGTAAACCTTGCCTCATTGTGCCATAGTGGCCAGGCCGCTACGCAGATGCAGCCTGGTGCTATGAGGACTGCTTGCAAGTGCCTCTGATGCAGCCTAAAGACATGGGGTCGGGCATCAGAGCAGCACCGGGAGCGACGTAGCAGAGTGAGCGACGTTTTGTCTTTGGGAGGTCGACAGAAGCCCCTGTGTTGTTTGAACTCAAGCTGCTTTAAACCGGAAAACCACATACCTTGAGCCAAAATTATGTGCAATAGGTGCATTTGTGTTTTAAACACAATGTACGTAATATTGTAAAGATCTTTTACACTCATGCCCCACGAGAGCACGACGATTCGAGATGTAAGGCATGAGACACCCCAGAAACAGATGGAGTTTCTGCAAAACAGGCGACCCCGCAAAGAAACCCTAACCTGGCAGGGATTTGCTTAGTTTGACAAACTCCTGCCGTATCATGATGGCTGTGGATCTGAGGTGCTGTGGGGCCTGGCTGCTCAGGAGGTGTTTGAGGGAGGCACCATCTTCCAATCCCCATCACTATGTAAAAGGTTAACCGGTTTCGGGCAAGTTTCTCTTCAAGCCTCTGCAAAGTTTGCCACTCATGGCGCAGCCGGTATGCGAAGAGGGTGTTTGTCAAGGGGTTGGCTATGGTTCAGTGCTTAGTGTTTCTTCAAAAGCAGGGCATCACACACGTATCCCCTTCTCATACAGGCATATATACATATACACACTTATATGTATGAGTATGTATGTCCTGCAGACTTGAACCACATGCCGAGACAAACATAAAAAAAAAAACTAGACTCCTTGATCTGCGTCACACTAGGTACCTGCAGCCAACACTGCCACAGTTCCCGCCGCCATGTGTCAGACGGACGACAACGGCAACTACTAGTACCCTCATTGCTATTATACTTACTATTTCCTCTACCACTACCACTACCGCTATCACTACCACCGCCACTACCACTACGACGCCGACGACGTCTACTGCACATGTTAAAGCCAATCAGCACGTCACAACTGTAGCAGTTATACGGTTGATGGCATCGGAAATGCAATAGCGGTGCGGCCTGCAAGCAACAACGACTCTGCAACACATCAGGACCAACCTCAAGGCTGCTCCAGAGATACGCAACCTCTTGCATACACAGGAAGATGTTAGGAAAACAGCTACATATCTGCAGGGCAACATATGCAAGACCATCGCCGGAAGTTGCCGAGGTCGAGACCTCATCTACCCGTCTGAAGTGAAGGAGCGAGCGAAGCGGCAAGGCCTTGTTAGGGTTCGGCATTTAAGATTAGATTCCGGAGGCTAGGATTCAGGGTTTAGGACCTCAAGGGTTTTGAGTGCATAGTCTTGGCAACCAAGTCTTGATAGCAGCTGACAGGCTCGTTTCAGATCAAGCTGCATGGAAGATACAGGGGTCCTGTGTCAGTATAAGGGCTGCTGGCGCGATCTAAGTTGGAGGCCTCGTGGTTGGACAACATCAGCGCATTTCTACTGCACAGTAACAGGTGTCACTGCGGCTTATGCTGTCTTGAGTAAGGGGGAGTTTGAGTTGACAACGCATTTCGATCATGACAGACCAACTCGCTGTGCTATCAGACAGGATCAACGAAGCATGTTTTGTGCGTACAGGAGCAAATCATTGACATAGCCTGAGAAACGCAATGTTACTTGGAGGCCTCGTTGTGATGTATCCGGTACCAGTCGCTCTTGTGAGACTGTATATGATCAGCTTGTGCATCTATCCGGCAAGCACCCTTTCCACGTTTGGTTGTGGTCCATGCGTCACTGTAATATCCACCATGCTGTTTACTTGCCGTGTGGGTTGCTCACTGTTTCTGTGTAGTGTAGCCATCGACAACTGATGGCGATTCATCCCTTCCCCCGTTAAACGGGAGCGGAGTGCTCCAACAAAAACTTGGAAAATATGTTGATTATCAGGGTGTATGTTTATCTAATTTTGAGGGGTCGTGCTCTTGCTCCTGCTCTGGCTCTTTCTCGCGCGCTGGCTTTTGCTCCTGCCTCTGCTGCGTCTCTTGCGCCTGCTCCTGCTCCCGCTCCAGCTTTTGATTTGCTCTTGCTGCTGCTCTTGCTGATGCTGCCACTTTTGCTTTTGCTCTAACTCCTGTTCAAGCTTTGCTCGTACTCTCTAAGGGTATTTGCAGCCTCGAAACCCTCCCCCCAATTCAGAATACGGCTTGAATAACAGAGATGACTTCTGGAGGATTCGCCCCAATCTGTTTGTATTAGACTGTTTAATGAAAGGGGAAGCGATTAGTTCCTCTGATTTCCAACACGCTGCTACACCCTAGCCCACCAACAAAAACAGCTTCTTAGCCACAACCAGTGCTTTCTGCTCCCTTTTTGGTGAAGAATGAACCCTTATCTCTGCAACCGTGAACCACGACCAGAATCCGAAGCCCTAGCTTGAAACCCGCACCCCAAAAAACCCGTGATAAATCGTCTGGACAGGAACCGGACTTTGGCGGCAGTTGAGGACGGCTGAGACTGCTGTGGTCACCAATCTGTCACCGGCCTCGGCTGATCGGGGCTTCTTATGTGGGTATATATTATAAGTCATCAGTTATGGATAGCTCCATGATGCATTTCTCGTGTTCGTCATATGTGTGTAACATACCATCGCAGGTTTACGGGATTTTCGGTGCATTGCTGCTTATTGCCCGGAATTTCGGAATAAAGGCTCAAAGTTTGAAGGTTTGGGGCGGTGGACAGGAGCACAGTCTGGCACCATGCATTTACCAGCTTAGATCAGAGACCCACAGATCCCATGTCCAACGCTATTTAATTTTAATCTATCAGAGCATCCGAGTACGAGGGAACTTCTATCAAGGGCTGTGACCCTTCTGGCCTTCCGCTTATCAGAGGGCATAGCCGCGCTTGGTGTTTTTATATAGAAAATCTGAAAAGTCGTGTCCACTCAGGTCTCTTTGCTGCCTGCAGGCAAGGTGCTAGTTCCCGTCGTTGCAAAGTTCTTGATGTGCATGGGGATTGTCTTCATTACAGTCTCGCTTAGACACTTATAGTGAAGTAGGCGAGCCACTCTCAAGTGAGCATCTTATAACAGCTCATAAGAACAGGAACTCGGGAACCTTACTGAACCCTTCTGCTAGAGAGCCATGAGCTGAACTAGGCCTCCGGGTCCCGACAACAAGCCCAATCACGAAGCTCTACCCATAGGCCCCTATGTATTTCCTTTTTATGGTCTGTATTTAGAATCCTATAAGGTAATCCCAAAAAGGAACTCCTTAGGGGCCTATGGGTAACGACTGCGGTGCTGCCCACCAGTGGCCGTCCCCACTTAATCAGGGCAGTCTCTGCGGAGCTGCCATGGAAGACATCATGCATTAGTTCATTTGGGAGTAGTGCAGGAGCCTCAATAATAACCCATACTATTTGGGGGGGCTCCTTATTATAATTATAGTATAACATACCCAGAACCCTATTCTAATTATTAAGGCCCCTGCATTACTTCGTTGTGGGGATGTCTGGCGGCGCAGGGGCAGCTTCCAGACTGGCCACCGAGCCCAGAGAGGGCCATCCAGCAACCAAGCTCATTAGCTTTCGAGTCTGAGAGATCTAGGCTTCAGGGTTTCAGGGTAACAATATTGCAGGGGAAAGGGTCACAGCTTCTGGTGATATAAGTTTGCCTGTCGCAAGATCAGGGGCTTCGGTCCTTTTCGCTCCGACATTCCGGAGGCGGCTGTGGCAGAGTGGGGGTCTCTAGTCCTTTCGGTTGCGGAGTCACTCATTTCGTCCCCTGGACTGAGCTTTAGAGCTCTGTGGACCGAAGCTGAACTCTGAGTACATCACTGCGCTTTCAACAAATTCATCGGCAACCCCAAACCCTAAAGGCCAAAACCCTCCGAGTCCAGAACATCTCATGAACTCTACATGCAGAACCCTGACCTGTCTTATATGCAACCACAGCTAAGGCTTTGCGAGATAGCGTTGGCGTACGATGCGGAGCATGTCAAGGACTCCACAGCAGCGTTCCGTTCAACACCTCCCTCCCGCCCTCCCTCCCTCCCTCCCTCCCTCGCTCCTTC